TGGTTTCTCCAAAATTACCTACCCCACCATTAATTAAAGACACAAAAGGTCAGAGGGAAAACTTGACCATCAGCCTTTTCTTTCGATCTTTATTGTTTCGGGAAAAAAGTGACATGCCTTACTCTTTTGCAGTATACAACAGATATATGTTAAAGCATGAACACATTTTTGACACCATATGTCTGTTCTGGGTGATCCATATCAGTTGAACTGTGTCTTTACTTCAGATGCCGGATCCGTGAGCACTGGACGCAAGGTACGAGTGGAGAGCGGTTACTTCTCCCTGGAGAAGACCAAGTCGGAGCCCTCCCCTCAGTTTGCCCTGTCCCCACAGTCTGTGCAGCCGCCCCAGCACCTGCCGCTGTCCTCTTCAGCCTCGTCCTCCTCTTTAGGAGCTCTCAGTCCCAGGTACATCTCAGAGTCAGACTCCCTAACATCCCCTTATCCTCCCTCCCAAGATCCTCTCCCTTCTCCAGGTGCGCTTGTTTCCCCCAGCTACTCCACCATCAGCTCCTCCCAGAGCTCGCTGGACTCCGAGCCCAGCGGGAGTACGCCCACCTGGGAGGGACGCTGTGGTGGTGGAGGCAGCACCGGGAGTGTGGGTGGTGGAGGAGGCAGAGTGGGGCGGCCTGGCAGGGAGTACACTGCGCTGTCCGATGTGCCTCGAGCTCGCAGAATGAGCTACCGTGAAGCTTTCCGCTCAGAGAAAAAGCGCCAAGAGCTGAGGGCACGGACACGGAGTCCCGGCAGAGAGGAGGTGGCTCGGCTGTTTGGGCAGGAGCGCAGGTAAGAGGGATCAGTGTCATGCTCTGCACAATCAATAAGTTGCATTTAGCATGGAAAACATATATGCAGATTCATTTGTGATAAAAATGGCAGCGAATCATGATTAGTAATCATTAATGAGCCACTGGTTGCCTTAAAGGTCTCCTATTATACTGTATTTCATCAATATATTATAGGTCTCTGATATATACAAAACATGTCTCTGAAGTGTTTGGCTGAAACACCAAACAGATCATTGCAGCATCCCATAATCCCCTCTGTTTCGGCCCTGTTTCAAAAGTGCTGATTCTCTTACTTACTTTAGATCAGGGGTGTCAAACTCAAATACACAGTGGGCCAAAATAATTGCACATATTAAACCTGGAACTAACAAAGCTTAAATTATTGCCTATAAAAACAACATTAAATAATCAGTTGCATTAATTTCTTATGGCTCTATCTGCAGAGTCATTTTTTATGATTACATTTTTCCACAGGCCAACAACAGCTTAAAAAAAACAATTTCCCTCAAAGAAAAAACCAAACATGCTCTGTTGTCTCAAGAAAAAAAGTGCAAAAGGAAACATCCATTAAACTCAGTGTGCTGCTCTGTGATGCTAGTTCAGACCAGATACTTGGCATTTCATCTTGGGTGCAAGTTCATCAATGTTTGGGCTCAGGCTCTGAGCTGAGGAGACCCTCAGGATGGAGTGAAGGTATGTGTGCAATATAGCGGCGGGCCAGATCTAATAGTAATTAGAAATTATCCTGCGGGCCGAAATTAAATCCACCAAGGGCCTGATTTGGCCCCCGGACCTTGAGTTTGACAGAATGAGTGTGTTTTCATGAGGACGAGGCCGCTTTCCTCGCGCGCGGGATTATTCACTTTATTAGCTAATGTAGATCACCGTTCCTGTATCTTGTATTTTATTGTCAAGCATTTTTGGTGTCGGTTGGACACACCGTCTTGAGTCTGTTTTGTGTTTTTTTGAAGGTTTTTCAAACCCTTATTCTACGTTCTTGTACTCGTCAGAAACATAATTCTCTCTCATCGATAACAACTAAACAGTTTGTCTGGTTCACAGGCCATTAACTAGTACAAAAAACCAATTGAAACACGTCTTTAGCTTTGACGTCCGGCTAGATAGACGGCAGTTGTCAGGAATCCCTGCGTGTTGCATCCCTCAAACCTGTAGTAAAATCTGAAAGTTATCAGGGGAAAAGTATATACATGTTACACGGTTTCCATCGTTCGCGCTGTATTGTAGTTATGGGTGTTACTCCTGCTGTTCAGAGTCATTTACTGTATTTACTTATTTCTAATACCACAATAAACTCACCATACCTCTCCCTAACTTTTTCACCATATTGTAGCGTGATTCGCAGGTATTACCTTGAATATTGTCGTGTTTATGTGAACTTTCATCATAGTATCGTCACCCGGGGTGGTTTCCAGCCACAACTAGGGTGTAACATATTTCATGAGTCGTGCACTAATAATACACACAACTAGCAGCACAGCACCGTGCGTCGTTTCTATGTCTAGTCTGACATTACATATTCGGGGGCGGTCATGGTTGGTGGTTCATACGAACACATGGGGCCATATGGTATTTAGTATGTTCTCGCTGTATATGTTTTTTTTTAGTTTTTTTTTTTTCTTTTTTTTTTTTTTTTTTTTTTTTTTTTTTTTTTTGGATCGTATTTAGTATTGTTGTATTGGCGATGGCGTGTGAGAGTTATATACATTACTTTTGTCACACACACCACGAGGGTCCGTCACGTCTCTACTTTCACTCGCCTTAGTCGCCACTTGGTCCCGTCCTTGTCGACACCCGTGTCCCCACCTCCCCAAACAACTCCGTACAACGGAGTCTCTTCGAGTCAAGTCGGATCGGAGGGACCTTTTTCTAACTTTGCTGTTTTTTCGTTTGTATGCCTTCTCGGTTCTCGTCTTATTCCATTTTCTAGTTATCTTTTCTTGGTCATTTTGTACGTATACGGTAGGATTTAGTAATTACCGCGTTGTGTGAGCAATGGTCGCGATGTCAACTTGTTTTTCGTCTTCATGTACGGTTTCTAACTTGCGACTTACGTAGCTCTAAGTCTAATATGGCTTAATTACGGTAGTCTACAAAAGTTGTCCAGTTGGACAAAGTTTAGGGTGTTAAAAGTACAGAACATATGTAGTTGTACACAGGGGGAGACGACCTTTCTCTAAGACTTTCAAGTCCTTTTTTCTATACGACGTGAAAAACAGGACTAGGTAATATATTATTTTGGTACAGACTTTTACTGACAGTCTAAAACTGGCGGTGATATACTAGAGTATTTCCAAAAGAAACGCCCCAAAACATTGGTAATCGGTTTACGTTCGGCTTGGTTCCATTTGGAGGTTCGGGTGGAATAGGACCTTGAAGGAGGATTTCTCGTGGTAACGAACAATAAAATTTGGTTTATTAGAGGAGTCTCCGCCCGGCACCGAGGAATAAAGTGATNGTTCCATAATATTAGAGAAAAAGCAGACATCTCTGTAGTATTTATCTCCAACACTTGGCAATTTACACCAAACAAATGTAGATTAATAAAAGACACAAATTTTGTGTCTTTTATTAATCTACATTTGTTTGGTGTAAATTGCCAAGTGTTGGAGATAAATACTACAGAGATGTCTGCTTTTTCTCTAATATTATGGAACAAGATGGCACTTTTTGTGGTGCTCAGAGCTCCTTAAAAATACATTTGAAAAACTCAACAGCAAAGTCTCTCTTCAGCAATCCTGACCAGCTATAACATACTCCACGGACCTTGCTTCGAGTTGTTTTATGTACAATACCTACATGAAACAGCTCACAACAAGGTCTGTGGATATGTTTTGCTTAATAAGGTTATGTATTTTTGAAGAACAATTGATGTAAAGTTTAAAAAAAGGTTATTTAGGCGATCATTTTGGGTTGAACTGTCCCTTAAAGCCCAGGTCTGCAGCTTTCACATCATGCTGAGCTGGTAACTAAAAGAGATACAGTATGTGCCAATGTCTTTATGTTAGTCGTGACCAGCACATTTTCAAACCTCCTTTTTGTTGACCTATTTTTCATTATGTAAGTGAAACTATAACTGAAGCATAGGTGCAGGATGTTGAGGAATTTGTCATCGTTGCCCTCACCGTCCTGAGTAGTGACACTGGACTCCGGTTGGCTCTGGCCCAGCTGGCTGAGGCAGGAGGCGCTGCGGCTGCAGGGGATGGAGGCGCGGCTCCAGCGGCTCTCCTCCTGCCACAGAGTGGTGCGGCTCATCGGGACCCTCTCAGCGCCGGCGATGCTGCTGGGCAGGCAGGGGATGCTGCCCCCCCCGCTGCTTGTTACCGTCACCTTGGCAGGGCCGGGCTCCTGGGTGAGGGTTTGGGAGGGGAGGAGGGGGAGGGAAGAGGAAATTACATGATGGGAGGCAAGGTTACAGATAGACTACGGAAAAGGAATACGAGGAAGGAAAAGGATTTTAGAGAAATTAAACACTGGAAAGTAAATGCGATCAAAGAGAATATATTTTCTTTAAATCAAGGCTTAATTTAAGGAAAATATTTGGACATCAGCTCAATTTAATGCCTCATCTGAAGTGCACTAGGGTCCAATATTGAGCCAATTCAGAGACTACTGTATCATTAAAGCAGTTAATGTTGTTATAAGTAGTCTGCAAAGCACAGTTATCTCCTATCCCCACACTTTTTCCATTTATTTCTCTTGTTTTAACCAATATCAAAGTGTCATTACAATACAAATGTAATTATAGGTAACAATAAAAAATGCTCTGGAGCGAGAAGGAAGATATGTGGAGAGAAAAAGTGATTGACAGCTTAACAAAGAAAATGGATTAATTCTGGCAAACACATCAGTATTATTGGAGAATTTCTGTATATGCAGATTTGATTTGATTTTTTGATTTGATCATTGTTAGTTTCAAAGCTTGATTTCACCAGTACAAAAAAGAGGCCCTTTTTGGAATCAGAATCTACAACAGGAGAAAGCAAGATTTCCAAAGAAAAAGCGGCCCTCAAACATTTGCTTATCATCCAGCCTACTTAAAATCACGATAAACATGCCGTTGTAACGAGAATCACCCGTTCAGTATTGGCGAGAGAATCCAAAAAAAGCATTTCCCTCACGTGGATTGGTAGTGATTATAAAAGTAAAAATTGTATTCAGGGATTCAAAAGAATGAAGTTACAATGTTCGGCCGAGCTGAACTCACTGGGTGTCCATTCGTGTCCTCAGTGGAAAAACACTGGCTTGCATTTCTTCCACCCTGCCAATCACAAAAGCCCTTTATGTTAATGCTACGTCCTGCTGATTTATTATCAATCCAAGAACAGCCAACAATACGTCTCGATGATTTTATAGTTTTTGTATTATTTATTGTGGTTTAGGGCCAAATTCATACATATTTATGACATAAAAACACATGTGTTTCTTGAGAGCAAACACAAGAAAGTAAAAACTCCTTTCAGTTACAATGGTATGTTTCCCATCATGGAATTTTTTTGCAAGGTCAGGTGCTTCAATTTAGGGTCACGACCCAGTAGGTAAACATTTTCTTTGCTAGTTTTTACACCTAGCATTTGTCTCTAGTAACTTCAGTGGGAGGAAAGCTCTTATGCAGACATTTGAGCCTTAAGTGAACTGTGGGTATTTATCCGTGACACGCTATATCACATTTCCATCCCAAACAACCCCTGAGACGATGATAGAAACTGAAAAAGACAAGCAGTAATGGAATAATCACACTAGCAGCCCTAATTGTGTCACTTGGCCTCGACTGCTTGAGTGTTATTTCACACACTTTCAAAAAAGATAGAATATTTGTTTAAGAGCGTACAAGGTATTGTTTTTTAAAGCTCATATCAGACGTTAATTTGGAGCTTGAATGCGATCGTAGTGTAGACAGGGTATATTCATTTAAACAGAAAAAGTATTTTGGATGCCACATGGGAGTTAAGGTCATCCCTGTGTCACTTCGTCCCGCTGCAAATGAGCCCGTCAAGTGTCCCGGCAAGGTCACTGTCGGATTCAGGGCGCCGTCATTAGAGAAGCCAGACAATGAACTTGAGAGAGAACTTTGTGTGCACCCACCACACATTTGGCCTTGCATCAGAAAGGAGGAAGGGAAGGGGGGAGAGCTGTATCCCACGGTAGGTGGTCTGAAACTCCTATATTTCATCTCGCTATTAAAACTGTTTTCATAGTAATGGAGCTTTACCCTTGTATTTTATCTCTGTCTAACATGGAGAAATCTGACTGAAGTTTGAGTTGTGATTTCATAGAAAATGCTGAACTTTGTATTATTTACTTATTTATTTATTTATAGAATCCTTCTAGACACATTGTTCTTCGAGGGTAGCCGTCATTCAAGGTCCCTGCGCAGTGTGGTCAATAACGAACAACACTACAGCAGATTCAAGTCCTAATGTCCAGATTTACAGACACACAGACTTTGACATGAATTCTCAGTAAGTGTGGCTGTCGATGTGTAATCAGAACGTTTATAGGATCCTCAATGAACATTTTTTGCTGATTTGAGGATTTTTCTAACAATTCACAGCATTGTAATATTTGAAACAGGAGGGAAACAAGATCATCGGAATGTACTTCTATAAAAGGTATGACAACAGAAATACCTTTTCTTCAGGTGAAGTGATCTAACAATATTTCACAATGGCACACAGGTGATGTAAAATAAAGAAAGGGCTTTAGACTGTGTTGGCTTGGGCTTTTTGCACAGACCTCAACTTGGAAGTCTTGAATCTGACTAATAATGTCAAATGAAAATAAGAGAACTGAGGAGGTAGGACTCGGGGGTCTTGCAGATAAAAGAAAAGCTGCTGGACACAACTTTGTAACAGCACGGAGCGCAAGGGAGAACTGAGAGGAGAGCGGATCATGGTCAAATTGCTGAATGTTATTTTAGCAGGCAGCTGTCATCCTCATCCTTGGATGTCTGCTCAGGAATATTTTGATAGCTCAACAATGTTTGCTGCCTTCTTACCAGGTGGCTCTATAAATTAAAAGAACGTCACCTGTTCTGCATCTTTATAACAGAGATACATTGTTAAAGAATATAAATGCTGGTATAACTGGCAGTATTTGTACCACTGTGCTATGAACACAGTGGTACAAATTATTTTAAAGAGTATGTGGCACGCAGTGAGACGGCCACATCACGGGACTCAAGAATGCAAATATGCAAAGCAAAAACTGTTCATCATGTTGCCGGCAGAAAAACAATACATCTCTCTATCTCTGGAGGGAAAACAGCTGGTGTAGACTTGAGTGGAATGAGGAGCCTCCATGCTGCATATTTCCCAGGCACATGTTGTCCTTAAATATGTTCTTTCTTAGCTGTAGCAATGGCACAATCACTCTATGTGGATGATTTATAATGCTTACTTTAGCTCAGTGCTGATGTATGGGGGTAGCCACCTTTAAAGTGTGAACAAGAAAATACTGGGAGCCCGAATGTTGTCTTTTATTTAGAAATACTTTTTGTCTCAAACCCTTAGACCTAGTTTTTCAGTGACGCTACCTCAGTGTGAGCAAGATAGGTCACTTTGCCCTGGAGTGTGTAAGTAGGTGCATTACCTGGTGACAGGGTGGATCCACTTTGCGTTTCTTCTTCTGGTTCTGCTTGTTGGTCCGGGGGTAAACAGTCAGAGCCTCCTGCCACCTACGAATAGTGAAACAGTCAAGTATTGTTCCTGTGACAATGAATGCAGACTATACATACCCTGCACCTGTGCTCGATCAAAATATGACACGGAAAAGTTCTCTGCAGGAAAATGAAACCATTATAAAATTAAAAACAAGCATTTGTACAAGCTAATACTGAAATACGAAAATATAAAACTACACTTCTACTTCTTAAACAAACACTGAGCTAAATGCAGGAAATAAAACATGTAGTCACTTGTAATCCTCTAGGTGGCAACACAACGCATCTTAAGGCTTGGTTACATCTGATTTGCCTTTATAATTTATGTCGGTTTTTGGCACCGTTTGTGTGCTCTTTACTGAAAAGGCAATTCATAAGGAAACTATTATATTATTAGCTGGGGTGGATTTAGTCAACTATTGTCTTTTAAAGCATAAATACATTATTTACTGCACAAATAATACTCCCACACTCAGAGATGCTCAATCCCCCTTCCACACAATGCGTATCCTCAGTAAAAAATCATTTGAATAAATAACCCGGGAGCAGTCTGCTGAATGTTTAGCATACTCAATTTAACAAAACAAAGAATGAAGGATAACATATAATGAAAAAAACTAAATGTTCCTTATCTGCAATACAGAAAACCCTGGCTTTTGAATGATTAGAATTACTTTGGTACGCAACAATCATGCATTATTAAATATCTTCGGCTGCACCCACTTTGTAAAGTGTGTCACACTGTGAATACAAACATGTGACTCTGTATGAGTAACAATGCAGCCTTGTTTTTATACTGTAATGTAATCAATCATATGTAAGGAGATTGAAAACAATACAAATATTTGTTAAATCCAGCTTGTTACATCACTATCAGTGAACAGCAGCCTTGGCAAGGGTTAATATGATAGCTCGGAATGAACACATGGGAGCCAGATGATAGCGGGTGGGAGGTGTGCAGAGATGGAGCAGGTAGCATAACGGAGAGTAGGTGTTGTGAGTCACAGTTCCCTCAGAATAGCCATATAATGTACGCTACATTGAGGGAGGGAGCGTACAGTGCAGAAACACACAGGAAAAGCAGAAGATAGCAAGCCGAATAAACCGAAGCTCGTGTGTTGGGCTCTGAGTCCAGGCATATTGGGGGGGTGGGAGGTTTGTGGACACAGGGAGAGGGAACAGTTCAAGAATGTGCACTGTCACTGCAGTGTGGATTACTAGGCTCTGAAACACACAGTGCAACAGAGACAGCAGGGGGCAGAGCAGCTTGGCAGCAAAGGCAGCTGCGCACAAATACTCTCCCTTTCCCAAGTCTCTGTCATCCCTGACCACTAAAACAAAATACAGAGCAACAAAAACCGTGCTGGGGCAGTTATAATGCCTTATAGAAAAAATACAGCTGATTATCAATTTGTTCCTAAACACAGGTACAAGTATAAATAATACAGTCTAAAAACACTCCAATACAGGTAAAAGGCCCAAATGTTACTTAAGTAAAATTACAGAAGTAAATAAGCTAAATGTACTTTTAAGTATCAGAACTAGAAGTCATGTGATGCAGAAAGGATCTTTCCACAGTAGTACATTGTTCTAGAGTACTATATTATTTAGTTTTGATCAAATTCAGAGAAGCTGTATGGCATTACCCAATCAAAACACAGTATTTCTATAGCAAATTGTACAAGTCTATGCAACAGCAAAACGTTAAAAAACTATGTTAACAATATTATGTAATGTCAAATAAATGAAGGATATCATGAACAATATCAACATGTAATGATAATACAAACAAGAGTAATGTAATGTACATATGATTTTGTGTATACTGTGTTCTTTAGTAGTACAGTACTGAATCATATCAGCATAGCATGTACAATGTAACTAGTAACTATTAGTGTTAATAAATGTAGTGGAGTAAGAAGTGGGATATTTGACGTGGAAGTGTAAAGTAGCAGTACATTCAAGTACAAAGTTTGACAAAATAGTAATTAATTCCAGTACTTGAGTAAATGTACTTAGTAATGGGGGGCCATATTATGCTTTTGGGGGTTTTCCCTTTCCTGTTTATTTAGGTTTGTGTGCATGTAAATGGTTCGCAAAGGCTAAAATCCCAAAGTTCAGACCGAGGGTGAAAAGAAGTGCTGCAGCACAGGCAGTTTGAGAAGACCTTTTTGAAGATTAAAGTCACAGTCACAGTAGTGAAACAAAATACAAATATGAGCCTGAAAATGAGCAGAATATGTCCTCTTTAACCGATCCAAGTCCTGGTTATTATGTCTTACCCGTTGATAATTTCTTTGCACTCAGCGCGTATAAAGTGCTCTTTCTCCGGGGTCAGGATGCACAGAGAGTTCTTCTGCCCCGTCCTGGACTCTCCGTCGATGACGTCGGAGCACTGGTTCATATTGATCGTCCCCTGTGGCAGGGTGCTGGGCTGCATTACACAAGAGGGACACACAGAGAAAGTGTTAAGTGGGGAAGTGAACAGACGTGCCCACGTATCCCTACACATGGTCTATTCACACAACCCACCCCAGCATCAATTTTCCTGCCAAGCTTGGCACACCACGAGCTGATATAATCACAGTCTGTGCACATCGAATGTTCCTGTTAGCGCTCGTTGTGATATTTCTGTTTCTTGCGTTGTGTATTTCAGCACTTTAAAAAGGACACTAATTACATAATGGAATCACATATGCAGCTCTTTACTTTACAAGCTCCATTTGTAAAAGAAAGGGATAAATAGGCAGATTTTAGACGGGGAAAATAGGTTGTTGTTTACAACTCTTATGGACGTGGCATTGCATTATAGCAGTTGTGTAATAGTCACTACACAATCTGGGATAAGTGCATAACAGTCATGCACTTGTAGTAGCTTTTAAAGAATGGTTGTTTTTAGAACAAGCTGCATACAAAAACAGCATTAAATCACACTAATTTGCATTATTTAGAACATTAAATAGACCATTTTACTTCACATTGACCTTACAGTGTTGGTAATGCCCAAATCTTCACAGCGCTGTATATTGCGGCGCTTTAAAGAGCCAGAAAGGACCTGTGAACAGGACTGTCTGTTCCATTTTCAAAACCGTGCAGGTTCATGGGTTCACCGAGAGGTATGAGATTAATCTGTCTGATGCTTAGCTGTGAGGTATAAACCCGACTATGTACATGGATACCATTCGACCGCCATAAATAACATGACCACAGGACTTCCACAATAATAGTATTAACAAAGTAGTATTATACTACTTTGTTTAAAAAGGTTTTCACATGCAAGTTTATATAAGCACACAGTGGCTTCGTTTGTAAGCACGGCTCATTTACAATGAATGGAGACATGCTAGCTTAACTTTGAATAGATAAGATAATCTATTTATAGTCTATTGCACAGCAAGTGAACTTTTTGTGCTAATCATGCATTTTGGCAAATAAAATAAATACATTTCTACTTTTCTAAGTGTAAAATACTTGTGCAGATGAATTCTTTGAAAGACAGTAGCAATTTGCAGAAGGAAAGTATTTGCACACAAATATTGCTTTTTCAGAAAACAGACTTTTGCTTTGTCTGACCTCCAAATGACTTACACTAGCAAAAGGAGAAGCCATGATAATCTTATGTTGACCAAGGGATTTATATTTGCTCAATGAAGTAAGCGAGTACTGCATAACTAAGCACAATGGGCATGTGTGGCTGTTTGAACAGCTTCAGGGCCCTACCTTCACTTCACTAAACATACAGGCAGAATTATAGACACCAAAATACCACGGTGGTTCCAAGCTTTAAGTACCAGGTAGCCACAGATGATAAATTACAGTCTGCTGCAAGATCGGAATATATTAGGGGACAGAGCTGGAAACTAAATTAAAAGGTATCAAGTTCATGTTTGCTAGTGACCAGATAAATCTAAAGGCAAGGACACAATTTGTGCAGCATAACCATAGCTTGCCAGCACTGGAAGGCTCTAATGTGGACAGAGGAGTCAATAGTTAACAGTTAGTGGTAATCTAACCCTGAGGGCAGATGAGAGGCCTTGTTGACTTTGTTACTGTTAAATTTCACTTTCATTCTTTACCACAGCCTAAATTGTAGCAGGGCAAAGCAAAGTACAAGTTTGGCAAAGCATATATTAAGCAAAAAAAGTGATAGGTTGGTTAAACTAAGTGTCAAATCGGAGGAAGCATGAAACAACATAACGTTTACATTCTTTGTGTTCTAGAGTAAAACAAATGTGCCACAGAGGCAGTAAGTCTACATCATTTGGTTCAACTTCTTATGCTTTAAAAATGAAGGGCTCTTGACATTAAGGTGAGAGGCCAGGGCAACAGCCGGGCTTGACAGACAGAAAGACAGTCGGACAAATAGACCGTGGGACAGGACAGCTGGAAGAGGGCCCACGCCTGCTTCAGACTGACCAGAGAGACGGGTGTCAGCTTGACCTGAGACCCTGTCACACTCAGACATGGAGAGAGGAAGGACTTTTGGGGACAGAGGGGGAGAAAAAAAGGGAGATTAAGTCTCAAACTGGTGGTCAAGAGGCACAGCAGTGCAGCAGAAAAAAAAAAAGGGTTTTGTGGACTCTGACTTTGGACCGCAAGGCCATCTGTCTGAGTAAACAAATCTCCACACATGTCCTCGAGCTCGAGTCAGAGGAGGATAAACAGCAAAATATTTCAAATTCTGGGAACAGTTGTACAAGCAGCTTAACCCCCCCCCACAGTTTTATAATCACATCGGATTCTCTGAAGATGATAAATCTGAGACTGACAACAGCTCTGACTGAAAAACCTATTTTCATAAAAGGGCTTCACCTCTGAGAGAGATTGGAGTGCTTACACAAAGTAGGTGGACGTGTGGGAGTACAGTACAGAAGCAGCACACGTGTGCACCCTCCCTGCCTCAGCACTTTCCGGGGATAAGCACCAATAGACGCCTCTACCTTGGACCTGGCCCCCAGACCCAGACCCCCTGAACCCACACCTCTCTGTCACCTAGCCTAGACCCGGTCCCCTCTTCCCGGGCCACCGCTCTCCACAATGGGCCCTTTGTGAAGCAGCAGGAGTTCACACAATGTGGGATTGTCAGCCGCCACAGTCCACAGAGCCACTCCTCCCCTTAACCCTCAACAAGGAAATGACCGAGAGACAAGGGGCTCAAACAAGTGTCCTTTTGTTGATCGGAGCATGGAAATTATGAAACGAGCATAAACTTCTTCTGGTCTCTCAAGTTGTTCAGACAATAATATGAATACTGTCTGGATGGGAGACATGGAGCGGAGTCTCAAGGGGAGACGGGGACCAATCAGAAAGAGATTGGGTTTCTCTAGGTCAGTGTGTGATAGATGGAGAGGCAGGTGGACGTCTTGGATCAGCACCAATATTTATGGGATATACATCTGTGAAAACACTAACTAAAAGGCAGAGGACATTTGTGTAATATACTGTAAGCTGTCATACAATATATTTACCTGAATATTGTGTTTCTAACTAAGGCAGAAGTGTATTGAAAGGTTGTAGAATTTAAATTTGAAATGTGTAAATAATTGTGTTGGATTTAATAGAAAACATCAGATAGAAAAGTTTGAGTGCATGAAAATGACTTGATTAAAAACACATAATTCATAAACTATTAAGATTCCTATAAGAACCTACAGTTCTGAGAATCTAAGCCAACAATGGAGTGCCACAAATAAAAGCAATGTTAAAGCTACAACACAGCTTCATGGGATTTACTACTGCCTAAAGTAAAACAATGAAATGTATTTTGCCGTGCAATACCAGTAAACGATACACTTTTTCTAGTTTTCCCACTGGGGAATATAACTGCTCAGTTAAGGCCCTTTTCTCCTCTCCTTACCATATATTATTCATAGGTCTTGTGATCTTGGGCCAGATGGTGTGTGTCATTACAACAGTGTTCATTAGGAACCAACTCTCTGTTTGGAAAATGGTAATTAGCATGCCTTTGCGCCGTTGGCTTCCTTCACTCTTGGCGATTCTGCAGCTAAGCAAAACATCACATTCTCCCTCATGACACAGCGAGAGAAATATTTGCTTCTTTTGGCAGCCGGCAGATCGTTGACTCTCAATTTTGGTTGAGAAGCAAATTCTCTTCCTCTGCCATCAACATTTTTGGGTTTGACGGACTCATTTCTAGTCATGGAAATCCAGAGTTCAGATAAAATGACTCAGTTAAGAGGATCGTGAGGGAATGATATTGCAACATCTTGCAAAAGAAAGACTTTCTTCCCATTATTCATTCACTTTCTATCAGTATGAACACACCTACATGATTGCTCAATGTCAAAGTTTGTTATGAACACCTGTAAGTTGATCAGCAACATCTGTTTTTTGGTATTAGGTGCCTGTTTGTCTGCCAAAATGTGCGGTGACAAATTCAAAAGCTGAAACTTTCCTCGTTAAGTTACATTACTCTGCATTAAACGTGTAACAGCAGGACCTTTGAGTGTGTCACCCTGCATCCAAAGCTCTTTAACTTTGATCATTGAAGACAAAAGGAAAGCTGATGAACTGGCAGCGTCTCGACCTGACTCACCAACATGGCCTGGAATCAGGTCTCTTCAGGGTCCAACATCCTCTGCTCATTACCGATAACAGCCATTATGCAATAAATCTTTCCTTAGCAACTTAAGACAACAGAGGTAAACACAAATTGTGATACCAATGAGCATGCCAACAACGAGCTGCGGGGGAAATATCCTCAGGTGCCAGACGGATGGAGTCACCTCTGGACTTGCTATGGAGAAGAATCAAACCACTATCTCTCTTTTCCTTCCACGATATCATACAGATATACATCGCAATCAGGCCAGGAACTACACTGAACAAAAATATAAACGCAACACTTTTGTTTTTGCTCCCATTTTTCATGAGAGAAGAACTCAAAGATCTAAAACATTTTCTACATACACAAAATAACCATTTCTCTCAAATATTGTTCATAAATCTGAAAAAATCTGTGATAGTGAGCACTTCTCCTTTGCCGAGATAATCCATCCCACCTCACAGGTGTGGCATATCAAGATGCTGATTAGACAGCATGATTATTTCACAGGTGTGCCTTAGCCTGGCCACAATAAAAGGCCACCCTTAAACATACATTTTTGCTTTATTGGGGGGATCTGGGGGGGTCCGAAAACCAGTCAGTATCTGGTGTGAGGGTTAGGATTAGGGTTAGGGTTAGGGTAATGTTGTGAATCGAGTGGCCCATGGTGGTGGTGGGGTTATGGTATGGGCAGGCGTATGTTATGGACGACGAACACAGGCCACTCGATTCACAACATTACCCTAACCCTAACGCTCACACCAGATACTGACTGGTTTTCGGACCCCCCCAGACACCCCCAATAAAGCAAAAATGCATGTTTAAGGGTGGCCTTTTATTGTGGCCACCCTAAGGCACACCTGTGAAAT